TAAACAATTCAAGTGACATCCATTTTATCTGTGTAAATCTGAGCTGCATGGATTTATAAATCTTAAATCTATTCACAGAAGTCGATTCGTTGGTTAGAAGATGAAAATAGTACTTTTAGAAATGACAAAGGAGGTAGACTATGATGGTGAATCATATGCAACTCAACTTGAGCAAATTCTGGATCAGAAGATAGACATTCTCACTGAGCTGAGAGGTAAAATACAGTAATCAAGACTCTTGTTTTTTACATTGATACTTGCAGAGCATAATCTGTAATTCTGTTTTGTTTTAGACAAAGTAAAGTCTTTTCGCTGTGCACTACAGGAGGAGGAGCAGGCTAGCAAACAGATCACCCCAAAGAGGCCTCGGTTTAAAAAAGGAATCAGTTTAATTTAATCTTGCCTATAACCTTTGTACATGGGCATGATTTGGGCATGTGGTCTTTTTGTGTAAAATGAACCAAAACAAGCTGTTTGTGTCTGTGTAAAGTTAGAAAAATTTGACAATTATAAACTAAACTTTGGAAAAAAAGCATTGTACGGTTGACCTATGAGGGGCACTGCAGTCAAGCCTGAGAGTTTAATGGAAACTTGAATCATTGATGATTAAAGTGAAATGAAGTGAACTAATTTGTCATAATAAAAAGTAATGCATTGTTATTGTTTTGTATTTATATATTTTGTGTTTTTCCATTGAAGTCTTTAACATGCACCTCTCAGTAAAACTGTTGCCAATACATTACTAGTATATTACCATCAAATAGTTTATTTCACACAGCAAAGGCAAAGAGAGCTTCATCTGTTCAAAAAACCTCAGTGCTTTATCTGAGGTTGAGGTCAATAAAACAAATGTTTTTAGTAATTAGTCAGCTAATACTAATATTTTATTACAGTGTAGTACAGTATAGGCTAGCATATACTTGGCCCCTTCATATCTTAAGTTGGTCATGCTGATCTTGTTGATAATGTAATAAATAAATATTGGTAAAATAAATAAATGAATAATTAGGCTACTCATTAAAATTATAAAAATTGAATGGCCTAAATGAAGTGAACATCTTTAAGAGTTGCAGTTAAGCTTGCAAATCCATAATGCTTACTGCTCAGAGTATAGTTTATTTACTGATACTGACATCAGTAGAAGCACACATAAATACACAATATATGCACATACTATAGGCCATGAGATTAAATGCTGGAATACAAAGAACAACTGGTCAACAGGAGCTGTAGTGCTGTTTGATTTCACTTACCACACATTATCATTAGGTCTGATACAACTTTAAAGGTGCACTATTTACCACTTGCTTGTTTTCATGGAGATGTGATAGATTTGTCTGGAATGTTCCGCAGTGTGCCTAAGGAACATAAAAACAAGCAAGAGACGCCACCAGGCCAAGTCTGCACTTGATCGCTTCAGTCCTGTGGTTTTGCATTGCTGTAATATGAACTGCTGGTAAAATAATAATAAAAACATTAAAGCCGCGCGCGGCGATGGTGGCCCTCGCCCCGGGCACGCACCGCCCCCCCTGGCGAACGCCGGGGACTCGCGACCGCCCCGACACACCGCTCTCTCTTCCCGACAGCTCCCGAGGCCAACAGCTTGTCCACCAGAAAAATGACATAGTGTACCTTTAAAATAGGATAAAGTGAATGATTCTAGAGCCAAACTGTAGACACTAAGCCACAGGTCACGTGACTTTAATGGTCAAGAGCACTGTCACACTAAGACTAAGTGCATGAAAACACATCCTCCACCAGAAAAGTTACATAGTGTGCCTTTAAATTTCTCAAAAGTGAAATTATTCTAGAGGCCAAAGTGTAAAACTAGGGCATAGGTCTTACTGACTTTTATGATGAGGAGTACGTCAGTGAATGTTTTGGCAAAGTTTTACAAATGAATGTAAAACTAATTTTATGTCACACAATAATAAATTGTGTGCATTCATATAGGTGGCGCTGTATCCCTGATAACTGTATTTGACATATCAATGGAATAAGGGTCATGCAGTGTATAACTGATAGAAATGTCATCACAATCGGACAAAACATGTGCATATAATAATTTTTACAATATTTTTGGGGGGATTCTCTGTGCCCCTGCTGGCCAACCGTGAAAAATACACCATGACTGTAATAGACATTTTTGCTTATAATCATGCAAAGAATTTATTCCCCGACTTTGGTCCAAGTCCGATAATGTTAACATTTCATGTCTAAAGAGGCGTTGACACCAAAGCGTCAAAAAACGCCTTGACGCCTCTATTTGGACGCGTTTGCATTTGAGTGTAGACGCCCCCGACGCGCGTCTTTGACGCCGTGAACAAACGGGACAAAAATACTTGACGCGCGTCCGTTGCCCTGGAAACAAAAGCCCGGTCCCGGTCTTTTCCCAAAACAATATCAGACCAGACTGAGAGAGTGTTTTTATGACATAAAACATCAGCGGAGGAGATCGGGTCGACGACTGGGGCGTATATATATTTATACTCCGCTAATGACACTGAATCAGTCCCGGTCTAGTCCTGGTTTGGTCCCGGTCTAGTTCTTGTTTAGTCCCAGTCGAGTCCTGGTTTAGTCCTGGTCCGGTCCTGGTGTAGTCCTTGCGATCGGCTCGGTGATTGTGGCGTATATATTTATGCTCCGCTCATGTTGGTGGTTCTGGTTCTGGTTCTCGGGTCTTGCTTCCTGATAATAACGTCGCTGCGTCACTGGATACTCGTCCCTGATTGGTTGACGCGGCGCGTCTGACGTGAAAAGTTCAGCATTTTCAACTTCTTGACGCTGACGCTTTGGATGCGCGTCTTGGCCGCTGACGCCAAAACGCTCAAGACGCGCTGCGTCGACGCCAGATTCGCGCCGCGCTGACGCCGAAAACGCGCCGCAAAAACGCAGGACGCTCTAGTCGCGCGTCCACATAGACTTTACATAGAAAGTGGACGCTTTGGTCTGAACGGGCCTTAAGGTAGGGGGCGCTATACTGTTCACTTTTCATATGTTTTATAGTTTATTATATTCAGACCAATATCCCGCATTAGTGATTCAAATTTCAGCACAATCGAACTAAGCATGTCCCTGTAATCATTTTTTTTACTATTTTTAGGGGGAGTCTTTGCGCCCCTGCTGGCCAACCATGAAAAATGCATCATGTCCATAATGGACTTTTTTGCTTGTAATCATGCATAGAATTTAATCCCCGAATTTGGTCCAAATCCGATAATGTTGACATTTCATGTGTATGGTAGAGGGCGCTATAGAGTTCTCTTTTCATATGTTTTATAGTGTATTATATTCAGGCCGTGATCATGCATTTCTTATTCAAATTTCAGCACGATCGGACTAAGCCTGTGGGTGTAATCATTTTTTTATTATTTTTTTGGGGAGTCTTTGCGCCCCTACTGGCCAACCATGAAAAATGCACCATGTCCGTAATAGACTTTTTTGCTTGTAATCATATACAGAATTTAATTCCCGAATTTGGTACAAATCCAATAATGCTTACGTTTCATGTCTATGGTAGGGGGCGCTATAGAGTTCATTTTTCATATGTTTTATAGTGTATTATATTCAGGCCGGGATCATGCATTAGTGATTCAAATTTCAGCACGATCGGACAAAACCTGTTTGTGTAATAAATTTTTAACTTTTTTTTGGGGGAGTCTTTGCACCCCTGGTGGCCAACTGTGAAAAATACCCCATGTCCGTAATGCACTTTTTTGCTTGTCATCAGGCATAGAATTTAATTTCCGAATTTGGTAAAAATCCGATAATGTTGACGTTTCACGTCTATGCTAGGGGGCGCTATAGAGTTCACTTTTATTAGATTTCATATTTCATTACATTCAGGCCTGGGTCACGCAATTGTGATTTGAATTTGAGTTCTCTATGACAATGCCTGTGGCCGTGACAGGCCTTCGAAAAAACAGGAAACGAAGGCGTTATTCGCCGGCGTGCTACGGGCGAACCGTACGGAGTATCTCAAAAAAAGTTGAAAATTTCTGTGAGTTCATGTCTCTAGATGTGACATGTCAAATCTGAGCTCATTTGGACCAAACCCCGGGGACTTGAATCTTTTTGTAGACCCCCAAGTTGAAACGGCGCCGAATTTTTGATCCAATATGGCCGACTTCCTGTTCGTCATACGGGTGCACAATGATTGGCTTTTTGTTTGTCTCCATGAGTTCTATCACTGTTCCGAATTTCGTGACCCTACTCCAAAATATGCGTCTGAGCCTCCCAGTCATCTCAAAATTTTGAAATTTCAAGGGGGCGCTGTTGAGTGGGGGGGCTTTGGGCATTGTCGCGATGCCCGTTTTATCGAATTTTTCGCCGGACCGGTCGATCTGGACCCCGGTTTGGGGACTTTTCGTCGATGTTCAGGGGGTCAAAAATGCGATCGTTTGGTCGGAAAAGGGAATAAAAATAAAAAATAAAAAAAAAGAAACCGACGAAGAACAATACCCCTCGCCCTTAGTGGCGAGGGCCAATTAACATAGCAACAAAGTTCACATTATTGTTTACAGTACAGTACAGTATGAACAATATGTGCTTAACCCAGATCTCCAGCAGAGGGCACACAAGAAATGGAAAAGAACTAAGAGGGTTATGCAATATTTTCTAACATGAGGCATAATGGAACAAAGACAACATTATATTACACAATGTGCAAAAAGTAGTTGTTCCCTTGGTCTAATTATTAAAGATCTAATTATTTTCATTACATTGATACTGAACATGAATACAGTGGTTCTCAAACAGAGTATGCAAGGTGAGAGTCCTCTGCATTTCTAGTGTTTATTTAATTAATAAACTATTTCAGTTATTTATTCTTGTCTTCTTCTAGATCATTTTTAGAACATTTTTTGCAGTTGTTTATACCTAGTTTAACCATAATAAGACCTTGTAAAGTCCTATTACAGATCTGGTTTAATACTGTTTTAGTCAGAAAGACAACAATTTCTTGATATGATACTTTGACAAATTTGACCCTCTGCTCTTACCATAGACCCAGCCGATACATATGGACTCAAAGATGGCCACAAACAGCAGACACATCCCACTGGCCGCGTACGCATCGAACAGCTGGAACACGTACATGCCCCCCTGTGGAGACCAGACACATTATCAGACATTTTATTATAAAAGACTTACATAAGACAATATCCATGTTTTTTTTTTTTTAAACTACTTTTTGACATCATATTGATATTGCATCTTTTTCACTTTAAAGATGGGCTATGTAACTTTTCCTTTTTTTGAGATGTTATTGCTTTGCCAGGAATGTTGAACAGCATGGCATTAAACTTAACCATAACCAAATAGACAATCTGATGACACCACCAGGTCAAGCAAAAAAAATTAATTCAATGGGAATGCAAAATTAGCAAGTTTAATACCATACTGAGGAACATTCCAAGCAAAGCAATAATAACTCTATGATACAAGTATGTGGTAGACCCTCAACCAAAAAAATTACATTGTGCAGCTTTAATATTAATCATGTGGATATATGGAAAACCAGCAGTAATTTTTGAACAGACAAAATGCCATAATTGTCAGCAGAGGTCGCACGGACTTGCCTTTCACCAGTAAACTAAGAAATGAAACTGTTGAGATTTGGTTTTAAACAATAGCTGCAACTGCCATTTTAATATACAACAATAATTGGGGCAATAAGGGATTAATGCTTTTCTCAAATTGTCACAACAAGATTTATATATTTGCTATGCAGTACTCCCATATCCTAAATACTACCACTCCACTGATCTTTGCTTATTTCTGACCCTGTGTTATCACCTCCATCTTCACAAAGGACACCACTTCCTGCTCAGACTCCAGAGAAAAGCTTCATAAATAAAGCTGCACATAAATCCTGGAGTAGGTTACATCACATTCAGAGTGCCACAATATCCTCAGAATATCAGAGCCCTCTTTCACTGCTGTTATCTCACAGACGCTGTTTCAACCAGGAATGCCACTGTCCTACCCTGAAAATCCTTCAGACTGATTTACTCCCAGCTTCTTGCAGCAATTTATCGAAGATGGATACTTGGCAAAGTATACACTATAAACTATTGTATTCAATAGAAATGGATGTGAAAAAGGACAGACAAGAAAAGGATGACACAGGAATAAAATATCAAATGTTAGCAGCATTAGAGATATTTGCCCACTAAGTTTGATCCTGACAACACTGCATCCTGTTGCTGTGTCCTTGGTCATTGTGTCATTAGCAATCATCCATGGTTAATATTAAATTACTTAACATGCAGTGTAGAGTAAAATTGAGCTGAAGTTGTAGTAAAAATCCTTATTAACCGTGGTTAATATTAAGGGCACACCAGTATTCATACAGGTAGATGCAGGGTCTTTCCCAAGAGTACACAGACAATATTGAGGGATCACACTTGCCAACCAACCCTCGAGTTCATGGAGAAACATGTGCTATTACTGAACTGAGCTGAGTGTTGAAGACAAAACAAGAAGATGCATTTCTTGTGCTGTTATTGTTCTATTCAAACTTTTTATTGAGTCAAAGGCTATATTTATTTAACTTCAGATTTTTTATGCATGTCTTTACTGTATCTGTACTGTAATTTTGTTCACTGTAAATAGCAATTGTCTGGGAAAAAGCTGCTTCACCTTGAAATATAACTTTGTCTCAAACACAAAACATGAATTATCTAGAACAACATTTTTTGTTTATTTGTTTCTCTTGGAGACTTTTTCTCGTCGTCCTTAATGAACTGGACCTTATGTCATCGTATTTCACAATAAAGTCAGACAAAATTTTACTACAAGACTATAGGGGCTGCTATATTCCATTTTTCATAAATAAATTAACTTCTTAACTAAGTCTATATTGGTCAAGACTGTTCAAGACATTTGATCTATCTTGTCTCTGTATATGTCTATTATATAATATTTATAACACAGTAGAGATCCAAAAAGACATTTTATAGCTGATTATTAACAGAATATAATGACACCAAGTTAGCTAAATCTTAGAAAGATACACTGGCACATTTCCATGTACTGATTAGCAGAAGCAAAGAACATGAGGTGTTAATGAAGGCGACATGCTATAGTGTAGATTTCTAGTGTTTATTGGCAGAGCTAATAATAAAGTGTGCTGTTGGCATGTTCTTACTTCTGTACACATAATGAGACCAATGAGGAACGAGACCACTGACATTCCCAGGATCAAGACCTCTCTGCGGTTTCCTCTCCTAAACATCTCCGGATACATGTCCACCACAGCCGTCACCAAGCTCTCCACACACACAAACTGGCAAGGAAGGAACACAGAAATACATACAAAAAATCTCAAATATAGTAAACAAAGTCATATTCTACATCATCACAAATACCATCTAGTCTCAAATTAGTTCAGGACTAAGGCATGCTTAAGAAATCTAAGGACTATGACTAAACCGCACTTTTGTCCTAAGGGCTGTTACCTACACTGAGACTTTTGTTTGAGATTTCTATTATTATTGTATTTTACAGCTGATTTTGCTTAAATTAAACTTTGGGGGCAAATAAAGTGATATTGATTGATTGAAACCAGACTGAACAAGGGCTATACTTCAAAAATAAAGTGAGACAAACTAGGGCTATACCAGAAAAGGTAATGTTGTTTGTATGTTGGTGTACTTTTTCAATCAGTGACTCATTCCTAAATCAGAAATTACTGGAGCATTTTCAGACTAGTGTGATGGTTTGGGGAAACCAGTTAAAAATGTTACTGTTACATTATGCACATTTATAATCAAAACTATTTGCAAGAGCCTACACAATAAGTCAATGTCAAAATCTAATCTCAGTCAATTTTGTATCAAACTCCAGTAAACAAAAGAAAGCAAAAGAAAGAAAGAAAGAATATGCTGAAAGAAAGATGATGAAGTAAGTTTAGTTGTTTTAATTGTCAGACCTGACTGTCCAGACCGAGGAAGATGAGCATCATGAAGAAGAGGCAGGCCCAGAGCGGAGCCAGAGGCATCATGGTCACAGCTTTGGGGTAGGCAATGAACGCCAGACCTGGGCCTGAAAGAATATGTACAGAGGTGCTATATAAGGACTTTTGTCTGGTTAACACAATAACATAGCTTGTTTGGGATTTATATATACATATACACATATTGAATAGTATGACTTAACGTAATGTTTGGCCATCTTAAAATGTTTTGCCCAGACTACTTCAGACTATGCAATATAAGGTGTACTTTCTGTGTTGTTAAATGAGTTTGAAGTCAAATGTTGCAGTGGCTGAGACCCTCCATCACCACTTGCTCTTGATGAGAAAATGTAAATGATTAAGCCTGTCCTCTCCACACTTCACTGGCAGACAAACAGCCCAGTCTCCTGCTCTGCCTCTTTCTTTAAATCATTTATAGTTTTAAATAAAAGATGCAGCAGTGGTCGGTGAGTGGAGGTGAAGAAAACTGGAGTTACATACCTATGAATGTTTACCCATTTTACTATTATAGTTTAGACAGAGACTGATGGTTCAGATGGGCCAGGTGATCTGAATCTAAACTTGGTTTTACACTACTGACACTACAATATAGCAAAAGCACAAACAATCTTCTTAATTTGGTTGATTGACTACGTCGAAATCCCACCCCTTTGATAAAGAGAGCATTCAGGCTGTATTTAACATTCATTTATCCATTTAAAGTGGGAATAAACACAAGGACTAGGAACTGTGGAAAATGCTACTGAAAAGAAAAAATAAGATTTAGTGTGTTGTCCCACTTCAGCAATGCATAAGGACAGCAGTCTTTAAACTCATGTTTCATTGAGCAGTCTAAACACTGTCTCAACCAAAGCAAATAAAATAATTTATATCACTGGTGAATCTGGGGAATTGAATTTTAATTGGTTATAGCTGAAAAAAAGAAAATACACAAAGTGTACACAGCCTCAGTCTAGCTCAGTCACATATGTCTCACCTGACTCGGCTACAGCCTCGATGGGCACATTCTGTTCATAGGCCATGAAGCCCAGTACAGAGAAGATGGCAAAACCTGCCACAAAGCTGGTGCCACTGTTCAGACAACACAGCATGATGCAGTCCCTGAAGAAAACACAAGAATCAAAATGTTAGTTAATATAGTTATAAGATATGCCTTTGCCTCCACCACTAAATCTTGCGTCTTGATCATCTCCATGAAAATGCTTTGTCTGGAACACATTGGAACAACATTTTTTTTTATCTTTATGGAGACAAGCAAATGATGCACCAGACCAAGTTACAGTTCTGATGTGATGGGTTTTTTTTCAAGGTATTTTTGAGCACAGATATACCCGGAATAGACACAACGCACACATGCAGCGGGCTACTTCTGGTCAGAGGGGCAGTCAGGGCAGCCATTTCCAATCTAATGTAATGCTTATGAGGTTTTTGCCGAGTCAAATCAATAAATCATGACAGATCAGACAGTGGACAGGGAGCTGCGTGTGGATGTAGCTGACAACATGTCAAACACATGCAGCTGCCATTGTGCACAGAGCCTAATGAATAAATGCAAAGATAACGTAAATGTCACACTGTGTCCAGGAAATGAAAGAACATCACCATGGAGATGACCAGGTGACGAAACTCCCACCAGAAGTTACACAGTGCACCTTTAAATAGGCAGACATTTCAGATTTGTGCCTTACCTGTAGCAGTTGTTGTCATACGCGTTGTAACTCCCCAAAGCAGTGAGACAGCCCAAACAGATGGCATAGGAGAAGAAGATTTGAGTACCAGCATCCACCCACACCTGAGAAAACAGTATTAGGCTATATGAGCTGTGGGATTCAACTGAAGATAGTAAATGTTACAGAAAATAATCCATAGATGTAAATGTTTTACTGTTTCCAAAGTGTATAATCTGTTTTAATTTGTGTGTGGCACCCAGTCCCTAAGTCCTCAATTAGTCAAACAAACTAATAAAAGGTACCAGGTCTATTTTTATGTAACTTTTCTTAAGGAGACCCTGCCTGTCCCCGTGGAGGAGGTTCCACAGAACATATCTATCTCCAAAGAGACAAGCTGCTGGACCTCCCACCAGAAGTTACACAGTGCACTTTTAATTTTTGGCCTGGTACACCTAAAATATTTATTCCAGACCAGTCCAATGCACTTTCGATTAAGAATTTAAAGCATACCTGCGCAAAAACAACTTTTAACAATGTTAAAAATCTTTTCCTTTCTTATTTACCCCCTTGAAGTTGTATATGGAGTGTTTCATGCATGTTTGAGCATCTTTAATGACTTAACGATATTTTCAAAATGCCATACCTGTTTTCACCACAACTGGTATGCACCCATTGCTCTGTACTTAATTAATTCTTCAATTTTATTTTCTTTATTGGTGATGTGTGCTAAACTATGAAATTTATTGTGAACATATGAGAAAATACAACAATAGCATTAAATGTGAAAGACAAGCATATCTCTCTCAACTCATACATAACAACATAAATAATCCTAGGATGCTATTTTCCACTATTAGTTCCGTTATCGACCCTGTTTGTAACTGGAATGAGCCAGCCAACATGCCAAACTGTGAGGATTTTCTGACCTATTTCAGCAGTAAAATTCAGTCGATTAGAGCTGACCTGCAACAGATCCAACCAGGCATTGTCTGTAATACAAGTCCTTTGGTTTTATCAAACACACTTGATAGTTTTGCCCTGGTTGATGCTACGACTCTTAACAAAATTATTTTACAATTAAAACCAGCCACCTGTTTTTTAGATCCTATTCCTACATCGCTTTTTAAATCAGTTTTTAATTTTTTAGCCCAAGAAGTTCTTAACATTGTAAATTTTTCGCTGCAGACAGGGGTTTTTCCTACAGCACTTAAAACTGCCATGGTCAAACCTCTGCTTAAAAAGGATAACTTGGACTCCTCCCTGCTCAGTAATTACAGACCTGTGTCAAATCTGCCGTTTTTAAGCAAAATTTTAGAAAAAATTGTTTTTAACCAGGTTAGTGATTTTATGACTTCTAACAATATTTTTGAAATTTATCAATCTGGCTTTAGAGTTCAGCATAGCACAGAGACTGCATTATTAAAGATTCTTAATGATATAAGATCCAACTTAGACAAGAAAAACCTGTCAGTCCTGGTGCTGTTGGATCTCACGGCAGCATTTGACACTGTAGACCACTGTATTTTATTAGATAGATTACACTATGCACTCGGCCTCTCTGGATCTGTTTTTAACTGGTTCAAATCATTTTTAACAAACAGGGATTTTTATGTTAGTCTTGGGGAGCACTCCTCCGCAAAATGTAAAATGGAGTATGGTGTTCCCCAAGGCTCAATTTTAGGTCCAACCCTTTTTAACCTTTACATGCTGCCACTAGGACAGGTCATCAGGAGACACGGTGTTAACTTTCATAGCTACGCTGATGATACCCAACTCTACATAGCCGTGTCTCCTGGTGACCTGAGCCCGATCGATATCCTTTTTAACTGCATTTTAGATATTAAGTCCTGGATGGCAGCAAACTTCCTCCAGCTCAACCAGGGCAAAACTGAGGTTTTAATTATTGGTCCTGAAGCTCAGAGAGAGAGGCTCAAAGCTAAGCTCCAAACCTACTCACTGAACCCCTGTGAGAGGGTGAAAAGTTTAGGAGTTATTCTTGACAGTGAGCTTAGCTTTGAGCCACACATCAGGTCCATCACTAAATCTGGTTTTTATCATCTAAAAAATATTGCCAGAGTCAGACCTTTTCTTTCTCAAGCCAGTGCAGAGACTTTAATACATGCTTTTATTACAAATCGCGTTGATTACTGCAATGCTCTCCTTTCTGGTCTTCCAAAGAAATCTACAGCTCCATTGCAGCTCCTCCAAAACTCGGCAGCCCGGCTGCTGACGAGGACCAGGAAGAGAGAGCACATCACCCCAGTACTGAAGTCTCTGCACTGGCTTCCTGTGAGCTTCAGGATAGATTTTAAAGTTCTTTTATTGGTTTATAAAGCTCTTAATGGTCTTAGTCCTATTTATTTATCTGATCTGCTTTTATCATATGAGCCCTCTCGGACTCTCAGGTCCTCAGGTAGTCTCCTTTTAGCTGTCCCAAGAGTTCAAACTAAAACTCACGGTGAGGCATCTTTTAGCTTTTACGGCCCCCGTCTGTGGAACAGTCTGCCTGAGGATCTGAGGTCCGCTGCGAGTGTTCATATTTTTAAAAAATAAACTTAAAAACATATCTTTTTAATTTAGCTTTTTAACTGAAACTTTTACCTGTTTTAACTTAAATTATCATTATTATTGTTATTATTATGGTAGTTTTAAATTAAATTATCATTACTATTTTATTTTGTCTCCATCTGGTCTTAGCTATACACTTTTAATTTTTTACTATAACTTTTAAGAGCTTTATGTTTATTAGTTTTTTAGTTTTTATGTTTCTGTTTAAATTGTGGTATTGGGGGGGGGGGGGGTGTTAATTAATGTATTAAAAATGTTTCTGTTGCATGTGAAGCACTTTGTGCTACATTTCAAATGTATGAAAAGTGCTATACAAATAAAGTTTGATTGATTGATTGATTGATTGATTGGTGATTTGACAGTGTAGTGTGGTCATTTTGGTACAAATGAAAAGAAATCCACTACTCTTACGGCAACGTCTGCTTCCAGCATCATCTCAGCACAGCAGTTTTCTGATGTGGAAGTCTGCTTTCAGTTTCGTTTACAAAGTTTGAAATAAATATTGCTGTTTAAAATGTGCAAATTATAATGTAACGATCCATTATTGTTGTGTGGATTATAGATACATAGCAGACACAAGCACAATATGCATGAAAACATGAAAAAGCTTTAAAATATTGAAAGTGGTACAGTTCGAATAAGACAGCAATCATCAATCAAATAATGAACTTGTTGGTGACTGTCTCTTTAAGGCTTTGTAGAAGTACTCTGCATCAGGTGCAGTTTAAGTAGAGGACTTTCACTATGAAGCCCATTAAACAAAGTAGAGCTCCTCGTTTGGTAACAGTTTTCCCTCTTTGTTTGGGAGAGGGCTGGACTATAGGGGAAATCTGGCACAACTTCACAGAGCGTCCTCTGAATGCAGGTGCAGCAGTAAATTAGCGGCCTCACATTCACTAAGCAAAAACATAAGAAAAACTACTGTGTTACATCAAATCAAGTTGTGATACTGCAAAAAGATTCAAAAATATTAAAGGTGGACTATGTAACTTTGCAGGTGGAGGGTACTCTACCTGCTTGTATCCATGGAGATGCTTTGATTTATATTCAACAGTAAGGTAGCAGGCCAAGTTACAGATCAAATCTGTGGAGACTCTGTACATAGGAATACATGTTTTTAAGGAATTTTTAAGCATTCTGGGCAATAGCATCTTTAGGAAGACAAGCAGCGTTGTTACTAATTGCACCCTTACAGCCATTGATTAATTCTCTAATTAGTAGCTGGAACTTAATTCACCAGAGCTATTTTGGGGCTGAAGTGGGATACACGTTGGACAAATGCCAGTTAAACCCAAAAGACAAAAGGGCAGAAAACTATTCACTCTCACATTCATTTAGTTTGTGTACTATGAGATCTAAGTCATCCATTTGAATTTGCATATGAGACTTTGATAGATCCCTGCACATGTTCTACTGCAGATATTGATAGGAAAGAACAGTTAAACTTCTGGGCTAACTGTGGTGAGTTGAGCTACTTTGGGTCTGCACTTTGGGGTACACAGTGGACATCTGCCAATTTGTCTCCAAGTACAAACTTAAAGGACAACCATTCACTCTAACATGCATTCACTATGGCTGCATTTACATTTACCAATTCAACAAATACTTACTAACAGCCATGTAACTTCTCTTCTCCATGGAAATGGTATTGCCTGGTATGTCACACAGTATGGCTTTACACTTATTTTTCTTGCATGTATTCGATAATAATGTGTTTTATTACTAAAAATACCTTTAAAAAAACATGCCCAAAATATCACCTGTAACTGTATCTGGAAGTGCCACCTGCTTGTCTCCATGAAGACGCATGGAGTTGAATGCCATACTGTGGAACATTCCAGGCAAAGCAACACCATTGACATGATTTACCATAAAAATCAGATAGTGCACCTTTAAAATAATCTATTATATTAATCTAATATAAAGTTATTCAATCAAAATGTCTGTATCGTAAAGATGCCATTATTCCCAGCAGAAGGGGGCAGTTTATATAAGGCTAAAACAAGCAGCAGCAAGGAACCATGCTTTGTGAAACTATTAAATGCTGAAAGTCCTTAATTTACAGGTTAGCAAGAGGATTACTGAAATATATGTGAAACAAACTCACCACTGTTTTCAATGAGCAAACAGCAATGTGGTTCAAAAGTTTAGCAAATGGCCTCTTTAATGTGATAGTATTTAACTTTCTGGAAGTGAAATGTCCACTGCATGATTCCATGGAAACAGAAGTTAAAACCATACTTCGGAACATTCTCCATGGAAATAGATACATTTTATGCCATACTGTGGATTATTATAGTTAGAGGAACAACATGGAGATGAAAGCCCACTCACAATAAGGATGTGTTTTTTAAGCTTTTCAGTGCAATAAAAGCATAAATAAATACATTAATTTTTGTAATGCTTTCATCAAAAAGTGGCATACTATGGCTTTAACTCCAGCAGCAAAACATATGTCTCAGGTCTAAATTGGTAGTAAAGCAGAGTATAGCCGGACCCCAGTGCTCACAGGGGTTGCATGGGGAGCTGGCCGACCCAAACCTTAATGCAGCAT